CAAGGAAAGCTTCACAAAAGGGATCCTAAAGGCAGTCAGTGTATAATGTCCACAAGAATAGAAAATAATGAAAAATATATTGCTAAAATGTAGTTCCCAGGGGGAATATATATGTTTGGTTTTTATGTATTATAATAACATAAAAGACAACTCTGGTTTATGTATGGGCTCATAGTTGGGAAACTCCTTCACCCACATCTGATCTTCCTAGCAACCTCTTGGCTGCAGGTATGATTTCTGTCCTTTTGAAACTGAAATAAATGATATACGATCAACTCAAAGTTCCCTATTTAATGAAGGGCACAACGAGGACCGTCAGTTTATAACTCAAACCAAAGAAATGATAATCTTTAGCGAGAAGGTGACAACAGTTTAGTAATATTTACTTGAACATCCTCATAAGGAAATCTAAACAGTATGCATACAATGTAGGTTATTTATGTTTAATGTGCAAATAAATACTTTCCCTATGGACATCCAAATTGATCTAGGGACATTGACAGTTACCAAACATATTACTTTAGAAATGGAAAATTACAACTCATCCTGTGTGTATTTATTGCCTAGAAGAGTTTTCCAATATATCACTGATGGAGAAATGAAACCTTAAGGACAAACTGAATTAGAAAGAAATCATAATTCCATTTGGGTAATATGTTGAAATTGCATAAACCATGTAGCAATATTGTGTATGTGCTACTTCAAAACTCTGAAGGCATGATTCATTAGGTTTCTTTGCCTTTATACAATGTCCTAAAGAGCCTGAAAAATATAGATTTTATTCATCTGTAAAGTGGCAGGGACTTAGGAATCATACATGGCTACTCATGAAACCTTATAAATTTAACACACAAATTACTATGGGTATTTTATTTATGTCTTATACAATGCCACTTGAGAATTTTGTTTCTATTATGCAAGTTTGTTTTGTATATTAAAATTTGATGGGGAAATGGTAGGACAGTTGAAAGTTATATCTAAAAATTTTTTAGGCAGAATGTTGAAATATTAACATTACATCATACTATTTATATTTTACAGATTCTGTAGGCCAGTTTTCACTTAAACTCTTCTGTCTTGCTTTTGACAAATAAACACTAAGCTTTTAAGTTAATGCCAATTTTTCCCCCTGAAATTATAAATTATTAATAATTAGGCCTTGTTTTTTTTTTTTTTTTTTTGAGACAGACTCTTGCTCTGTCACCCAGGTTGAGTGTAGTGGTACAATCTAGGCTCACTGCAACCTCTGCCTCCTGGGCTCAAGTGATTCTCCTGCCTCAGGCTCCTGAGTAGCTGGGGCTACAGCTATGTACCACCATGCTTGGCTCTTTTTTTTTTTTTTTTTTTTTTTTGTAGTGATGGGGGTTTTGGGGCAGGGGGGCAATTTTCTTAAAAATATGTTCTTTCATAACTTTTGTAGAGTAGCTCCACAACTTCAGTGAAAGTTTTGCAATTAAAACTCTAAGTTAGTGATGCTACTGCTGAACTAGGGAGGGGGGTGTGTATGTGTGAATATGTATACATTATATGTGTATATGTATATAATTTCTATATAAATTGACAAGTTTTATAGTGCATTAGATATAACTTTATGTACTAGTTGTCTGTGGCTGTCTAACAAATTGCCACCAATTTAATAGCTCAAAACACAGTATTTCTTATTTCATAGTTTCCATGGGTTAGAAGTCTGTGCACAGATGGGCTGGGTCCTGTCTTTGAGATATCACAGGTTGTAAGCAAGGCGTCAGATGGGGTTACTGTACCTTCTGAGGCTGTGCGGCCCTCTTCCAAGCTCACATGCTTGTTGGCAGAATTCACATCCTGTGGTTGTGAGGCTAAGGCCCTCGCCTCCCAGAGGCCACCCCTTCTCCATCCTCAGAACATAACATGGTTGTTTTCTGATTTGAAGCCAGTAGAAGACTCTCTCTCACATCTAGACTCTCTTTCAAAGAACTTACATGATTAAATGAGGCCCACCCAGGATCATCTCCTTTTTGAGTAAATTTAACTGCTTTGGGACCTTAATTGCATTTTCAAAATTCATTCACCATTGCTATAAAATGTAACCAAGTCCATCATCTTTGCCATATGACATAACCTAGTCCCAGACATAAGACCAGGGGATAGAGGTCACGGAGGCACTCTTAGAATTAATCTAGCACACCTTACTTGAGCATAGTAAAGTTACTGCTTTAACATTTGTGAGGGCAAGGTTGTATCATTCAGAAATCAAGGGGAACCTTAGAGAATATAAATGCACCAATTGCTTTCATTTTGTCACTTTTTTAAAAACTTAATTTTTATGGGTACCATAGTAGGTGTGTATATTTATGGGATACATGAGGTATTTTGATACAGGCATGCGATGCATAATAATCACATCAGGGTCAACGGAGTGTCCTTCACCTCAAGCATTTATCATTTCTTTGTGTTACAAATATTCCAATTATACTATTTTATTTTTAAATGCATAATAAATTATTGTTGACTGTAGTCAGCTGGTTGTGCTATGAAATAGTAGTTTTTAATTCATCCTATTATTTTTTATTATACTTTAAGTTCTGGGATACATGTGCAGAAGGTGCAGGTTTGTTACATAGCTATACACGTGTCATCGTGGTTTGCTGCACCCATCAACTCGTCACATGCATTAGGTATTTCTCCTAATGCTATCCCTCCCCTACACCCCCTCCCCCGGCCCAGCCGACAGGCCCTGGTGTGTGATGTTCCCCTCCCTGTGTCCATATGTTCTCATTGTTCAAGTCCCACTTATGAGTGAGAACATGCGGTGTTTGGTTCTCTGTTCCTGAGTTAGTTTGCTGAGAATGATGGTTTCCAGCTGCATCCATGTCACTGCAAAGGACATGAAATCATCCTTTTTATGGCTGCATAGTATTCCATGATGTATATGTGCCATGTTTTCTTTATCCAGTCTATTGTTAATGGACATTTGGGTTGGTTCCAAGTTTTTGCTATCATGAACAGTGCTGCAATAAACATACATGTGCATGTGTCTGTATAGAATGATTTGTAATTAATTGGGTATATACCCAGTAATGGGATTGCTAGGTCAAATGATATTTCTGGTTCTACATCCTTGAGGAATTGCCACTGTCTTGCACAATGGTTGAACTAATTTACACTCCCACCAATAGTGTAAAAGTGTTCCTATTTCTCCACATCCTCTCTAACATCTGCTGTCTCCTGACTTAATGATTGCCATTCTAACTGGCATGAGTTGGTACCTCATTGTGGTTTTGATTTGCATTTTTCTAATGACCAGTGATTACGAGTTTTTCATATGTTTCTTGGCCACATAAATGTCTTCTTTTGAGAAGTGTCTGCTCACATCCTTTGCTCACTTTTTGATGCTTTTTATTTTTCTTGTATATTTGTTTAAGTTCTTTGTAGATTCGGGATATTAGCCCTTTGTCAGATGGATAGATTGCAAAACTTGTCTCCTATTCTGTACTTTGCCTGTTCACTCTGATGATAGTTTCTTTTGCTGTGCAGAAGTTCTTTAGTTTAATTCAATCCAATTTGTCCGTTTTGGCTTTTGTTGCCATTGCTCTTGGTGTTTTAGTCATGAAGTCTTTGCCCATGCCTATGTACTGTATGGCATTGCCTAGGTTTTCTTCTAGGGTTTTTATGGTTTTAGGTCTTACGTTAAGTCTTTAATCCATCTTGAGTAATTTTTGTATAAGGTGTAGGGGAGGGATCCAATTTTAGCTTTCTGCATATGGTTAGCCAGTTTTCCCAGCACCATTTATTAAACAGGGAATCCTTTTCCCATTGCTTGTTTTTGTCAGGTTTGTCAAAGATCAGATGGTTGTAGATGTGTGGCATCATTTCTGAGGGCTCTGTTGTGTTCTATTGGTCTATATATCGGTTTTGGTACCAGCATCATGCTGTTTCGTTTACTGTATCCTTGTAGTATAGTTTGAAGTCACGTAGTGTGATGTCTCCAGTTTATTCTTTTTACTTAGGATTGTCTTGGCTATACGGACTCTTTTTTGGTTCCATATGAAATTTAGAGTAGTTTTTTCTAATTCTGTGATGAAAGTCAGTGGTAGCTTCATAGGAATAGCATTGAATCTATAAATTACTTTGGGCAGTATGGCCATTTTCACGATATTGATTCTTCCTGTCCATGAGCACGGAATGTTTTTCCATTTGTTTGTGTCCTCTCTTATTTTCTTGAGCAGTGGTTTATAGTTCTCCTTGAAGAGCTCCTTCATATCCATTGTAAGTTGTATTCCTAGGTATTGTATTCTCTTGTAGCAATTGTGAATGGGAGTTCACTCATGATTTAGCTCTCTATTATTGGTGCATAAGAATTCTTGTGATCTTTGCACATTGATTTTGTATCCTGAGACTTTGCTGAAGTTTCCTATCAGCTTAAGGAGATTTTGGGCTGAGACGATGGGGTTTTCTAAATATACAATCATGTCATCTGCAAACAGAGACAATTTGACCTCCTTTCTTCCTATTTGAATTCGCTTTCTTTCTTTCTCTTGCCTGATTGCCCTGGACAGAACTTCCAACATTATGTTGAATAGGAGTGGTGAGAGAGAGTGTCCTTGTCTTGTGCCAGTTTTCAAAGGGAATGGTTCCAGCTTTTGCCCATTTAGTATGATATTGGCTGTGGGCTTGTCATAAATAGTTCTTATTATTTTGAGATACGATACATCAATACCTAGTTTATTGAGAGTTTTTAGCATGAAAGGGTGTTGCTTTCATTTAAATATCACAGTGTAGAAAAGTCAGGAATGCATACACTCAGAAATAACATTGGAAAACAGTGTGTGATTAAATATCAAAATGAGTGGCATGTACAGTAACTCAGAAAATTGGTCACTTGAAATGAGTTAATTGTTTCAGAAGTCACTATTATAGAAGATATTTAGGCTGGTTCCCAAAAGATACAAAAGACTGGGTGAATGAACAGGGACTTTAGTTGATAAAGCCATTTATCATTTTTTCTCATTTTTTCTCAGTAGTGCTGTGTAGAGCCAGGCGGACACGAGTTTGAATTCCAGCTCTGTCAGTAAGTAAAAGTGTGACTTTTGGTAAGTTATTTGAACTCTCTGAACTTCCATTTTGTCATTTAGAATAAAAGGAGTAAAAGCACCTACTTCATAAGTGTTGCTCAGATAATAGTAAATCAAATGTCTGAGTTGCTTACTCACAGGATCACTGGAAAGAATACATAACAACATATTAAATGAGAAAAGAGCTCTGAAAATAATAAAGTACCATAAAAATATAGGTCACTCATAGCATAAAGTTCCCCAGTGATGTTTTTCTGTTTGGTTAAGTATCTCTAATCTATTGCCTTATTGTATTTGATATAATTAACATGTAAGCAATTTTAGGATCAATCTGAAACAAAGAAGTTTAGAAATAGACAAATAGAGCAAATAATAAAATTAGCCTTTCAACTGAGATTTTAACACCACAAAGTACATAATAGTGTGGAATTTTCAGGGACCATGAAGATCAGCGTGGGTAATATTTAGGGAAAAGATTTACTCTTGTTTCCTTTTTTACTTGTCATCGTTCTTCCTGGTGATTATTTATGGCATGTAATAAATAGTAGATGTAATAAACTTTCATTGAATAACTGCATTATAGATGGAAATCAAGTATTTAAATAATACAAGTATACCAACATAAAAGCACTGTTCATTACAAATGTACATTCCGTGGAAACAGAGGCTTAGTGTGATTTTTTTCTGAAGTATACAACAGCTCAAGGTCCCCAAATAAAGGACTGAATGTCTCTAAGTGATTAACTTGGTTTATAAGCGTCCAAAAGTTTTAATTCATGTTTTGTACTTTTTGGAAAAGGAGAACAACCAAAATAAAAACTAGGTTTTCTCCTTGGATTTCAAATATTTCCCATTTGATAATCATTGTAAGGAAGGTGACTAGGGAGGACTCTGGGAATATTTATTGAATTGTGAAAGAAGAAATCTGACAAACAATATGCTTAATCATTTTCCATTTATCATCATCATCCTGTGACAGGATATAAAAACAATTGTACTAAAATGAGGTGTTTTGTTGAGGAGGAGACTCTAGAGTATTAAAAAAGAGGATTTATATTTGAGTAAATAAAATTTTGCTGGAACCAGAAATTGAAGAGTATTTGAAGAAATGCTCTGAACTATGGTAACTGATTATTCTTCATTTATAATGTCTGTTTCAAGCTGTCTTGAACATACGGTCCAAGAAATTTTGAGTCAAGACAATATACAGCTAGGGAAATACAGTAACTTTTAAGTTAACTACATATGAAATGAATTTTCAGAGTTGTCTAGGTAAACTGAAACTGGTATATGTTTATAGCAGGCTTTCCCTCCCTTTGATAGTTGTATCTCTGAAAAAAATGTGATTCATAAGAAATAATAAAACCTTGAGATTGACTAGTAAGTGTTCTTCTCCAGCCATGACTTCTGACCTATTGTGCACATGCTGGAGAATGAATCTAATTTTGAATATTCATTATAATCATGTTTTTTAAAAAATACATTTTAATGTCACATAGAAACAAAAGCTGTTCACGGGCCACAGCCTAGTCACTTAGGTTTACCACAGAGTGATGAAAATTCATCAAAATGTCAAGAGATCTGTATTTACCAAGTTTGATGAAGAAAATCTGACAAATACTATTTAAGATAAGTGGCATTTTTTCCTAATTGTTTTCATATGGATGAATGAAAATCAAGTGCCCTGTTACTTTGATGAAATGCTAAATTGCTTAAAAATTCATATTTATACAACGGACCAGAATACAAAATCTGAACATAAGATTATGGCTTGAAAACCACTGTACAGATTTTTCTGAGCTAACCCTGTACATTCAAATACAGAAATGAAAGCATTAGTGAATGCTTAAACTTGAACAAATTCAGTTCTACTCTCCCTGCATTTCCTCACTAAAACACAGTTTTCCTCACTAAAATACAAATAAATATTAGGTTACAAACTAATAAGTATTTCTTCCATGGAAAATATGTCAGACTTTCTATGTTGGTGGCAGCTCATCAAAGACAAATACGAGTCATTTTTTAGCAGGTAATTCACCTCAGGAATTAAGTATGCAAACACCAAAAGAAACCATTGACTATTTTCCCAGTCCACATAGAACATGCTATAAGTCTAGGGAACAGGAAGAAAATGTTAGAAAAGTGAAATGTAAAACAGGCAAATATTAACCTTAGCGGATGTTATAACTAAGGAAAGAAATGATTGCATACGAAGCTTTGTTCTCCTTGTAGTTTTATGTGTGGGTATGTTCCTATGTATGTATGCAGGTGCATTTATAATGCAATTTTAACCCAAAATACCACAGACTGAACTAAAACTAAGAAGTAGTAGAGTTGACATTTGAATCCCAGGTCCATGAGATGGGATAGCACATGGCCTCGACCTCTCCTTCATGCTTATATCTCTTCAGATAGTTTTTCCAAAGCTAATTATAAGGCATTTTAAGGAAATCCTAATGTTTGAAATTCACTGATACATGGTCTGTTGTCTGCCTATTTAGATTTTTTTAAATTAGAAAATATAATAAAACAGAAAGGGGCACTGAGTCATTTCTGAGGTAAAATTGATTTTTCAATGTTGAAATAAATTTCCTCACACTTGCAGATGTTTCATTCCTGTCCAAGGCGTTTGTAGTTTTGTGTGCTAAGTAAAGGTGATCATCAAGTCCAAGTCAATTCCCACATTCATAGATTGAAGCCATCTTTGGGCAATGCATATATCCAGCTTCATCAAATCCTAAAGATTCCTGAAGAAAGCTATTTTTATGACCTCATTCATTATCCATTTCCACTGATTTTGGAGAGCAATCCACTGTTTCAAAACAAAAAGCATGTTCACTAATTGTGTGATGGGTTCACTAGAAGCCCAAATCCCAGCATTACATAATAGACCCAAGTAACAAACCTGTACATGTTCCTTCTGAATCTACGAAACATTCTCACACACAACATAATCATAGCTTATCTACATTTTCTAAATAAAAACAATTTATAGCATGCAAGGAGCACAAAGTAAAAAGTACACTGAAAAGCATGCATTAACCGAAGAGAGTCCTATGCAAACTGGAAGGTTTGGTCAGGGGAGGGACAGATGGATACAAGTTTTTAACTATTCAGCACCAAACATTATTTCCAAAGTCACCTAATTTTCATTAGTCTAAGATAGACAACCAGTTGGTTGATAATTAAAAGTACAAACATTAAAAGATAAGGAATTAAGTTCTTTTAATTGCCAATGGAATAGTGTTGCTTGCTCACAACATTAAACCTTCACCTTAGCCATTCTCCCAGTTATCAAGATAAACATTTTACTCATGAATTCCTCCTCCTTCTCTAATCTAGTACCGTATCTAAGCATCATGCAACTCAGATGGGAAGTAAACAAACAATTCAGTGACAGCAATAATTAGGCTAGATCCTGAGGTCATTCTATCCATGGTAATACTGACTTTCGGTTTTTCCCATCAGGCAACTTTACAGTTTAAAATGGAAAATTGCAAAACTTATTTAAGCCTCAAAATTGTAACTAAATGAAAATGTTTAATTTTGTGGTTACCTTTTGTTATTATATTATCGTATTTCTACATTTAGTAGAAGTCCATCATGGCATTTTAGATTAACTATCCTTGTCCTATTATTTCCGTGACATTCATTTCACAAGCTACTTAGGGTGGGCTATAGAGAGTTACTGAGAAGATAAACCATTCTCTGATTAAACTTTTTAATTACGAATAAAAGTAACACCTTAAATAGTAAATGTATTAGCTTCTCTATGCTAAGAAAGAAGCCCCTTCTACTTAGATCACGGATTTTCTTGGCAAATCAACATGGTATCTCCTAAGTGCCATCAGTCAGCCTGACAGAAACAAACTGTTTAGGAGCCCAGCCACTGAGAGCGCCCAACCATGGTACAGATCTGGAGGTGAGCGTGGCACAGAGGGGTTGAACGGCATCATTGGAACTGGACCAAAAACAGTAGAAATAAAGAACACTGGACATGTGCAGGAGAAAGATTTTAAAAGGCATAGAATTTGGGGAAAAATGAAAGTTAGCAAGAAAAGAAGGAATCCTCTAGATAGAGTGATTATTATCAGAGCTTGTGTCTACTTACGGCGGATATCAGTAAGTCCCCTACAACTCCATTAGGAAGACAACTGTGGCCAAGGCAGGAGGATTGCTTGAGGGCAAGGCTTCAAGACCAGCATGGGCAACACAGAGGCCTGTCTCTTCAAAAATGTAGCAGGGTATATACCAGTGGTCCCAGCTACTCCTGAGGCTGAGGTGGGAGGTTGGCTTCAGCCCAGAAGATAGAGGCTGCAGAGAGCTGTGACAGTGACATTACACTCTTAAGTGGGTGACAGAGCAAGACCCTGTCTCAAAACCAAAAACAAAAACTAAACTAAAGTATTGTAATAGATGTCTCTCTCTAGCTACTTTGCACTCCTTCCTTTGAGGAAGTCCTCTCACTTTATGGGGCTCAGGCCCTTCTCCATGTCTGGCAGAGGACCTCAGGCCAGAAGGAAATCTTATTTCTCTGCTCATAGTTATTGGTTCAGGGAAGGGCAGGTGACCACAGCGAGCACAGTGAGCAGTCCCCTTAGGATTTTCCCCTGGAAGTTACCGGAAGTAAGCAGTCTCTCCTGTTAGCCGATTGCCTGAGTGCTGAGGAGGAGCACATCTGTGTGAACCGACTGAGAGCAAAACTGTTTATAAACAAAGCCAGTGGACCAGAGGAGAGCAAAGGGACTTAAGTCAGTTTATTCCCTTTTTTGCTTTCACAAGTTTGGTTTGAGCTTTTGTCACTTGCCATATAAAAGGTCCTATACTTCCCATGACCTAACATTGGACTGTGGCAGTTACTGTGTGTTTATTTATTTATTTTATTTATTTATTTATTTTTTTTTTTGAGACAGAGTCTCGCTCTGTCGCCCGGGCTGGAGTGCAGTGGCCGGATCTCAGCTCACTGCAAGCTCCGCCTCCCCGGTTTACGCCATTCTCCTGCCTCAGCCTCCCAAGTA